TAAGAACCTGGTGCAGCCACTATGGAAACAGTATGGAATTTCCTCAAAAAACTAAAAATGCAACTGCCTTTTGACCTGGCAACTCCACTGCTGGGATTATACTCTAAGAATCCTGAAACACCAGTTCAAAAGAACTTATGGACCCCAATATTCATAGCAGCATTACTTATAATAGCCAAGTGCTAAAAACAGCTTAAGTGTCCATCAGTAAATGAGTGGATAAAAAAACTGTGGTGCATTTATACAATGGAATACTATGCAGCAGAAAGAAAGAAGGAACTCCTACCCTTCGTGACAGCATGGATGGAACTGGAGACCATTATGCTAAGTGAAATAAGCCAGGCAGTCAAAGACAAATACCATATGATCTCACCAATAAGTGGAACTTAATCAACAAAACAAGCAAAAGAGCAAAAAAGAACCAGAGAGATGGAAATAAAGAACAAACTGACAGTGACCAGAGGGCAGGTGGGAGGGGGATAATGGGGTAAAGAAGGTGAAGAGTCAAGTCATGGAACATGTACAAAGGACTCATGCTCAAGGACAATGGGGTGGGGACTGTCTTTTGGAGTAGCCATTGGACGGGGCAGGGGAGAGCAACAGAAAGAGGGAAATGGGAACAACTGTAACTGAAAAACAATTTTTTTAGAAAAGTAAAAGATAATTAAAGAGTAAATTATTAGTAATATGAAGGAAACAGAATGCCCTCTATATCTTCTAATCAATGCCTAAGTTCTGTGATTTCTTCTATTAAGAATGCAAAGGATTTCATTTTCAGGTAAAGAAATGAAAATGATTTTCACACCACCCTATGTAAAATCAGAATCTAAATGGTTCTTTCTTGTGGGAATTTAAATTATACATGAGCTTTGATCTTAAGAAAGTGATAGCATTGTTATAAAACTTTGGTTGAATCATCATTCTAGTTTTGAAATATTCATTTTGTTTGTCTGCTTTTTGAGAATGTTTTTGTAATATTCCTCCCATTATAGAATAAAGATAGAAAACAAAGCCATGTATAAACATTTATGTAATAATACGATGTTTACAAGTACAATTTGCAGATTATTTTGAACTCATAAAATTTGAAGCATTTAAAAATATACAAACTCTTTTGAATTTATAAATAAAAATAATACAATCAATAAAAATTGAATAATACATCAACAAATATAAATAGGGAAATATGAGAGTGATAATTAAGCTATGAAAATATTAGGGATCCCTACACTGAATCTTCTTGCCTTTATAAGACAATAAACCACTTGTCTCTTTATCTAATATTGTAAGTTCAGGTATATGTGAGTTTGTGTTTTCCTTCCTTCAAAATTTTATTCTTAAATGCATCAAGGATTTTATTTAGGTCAATTAGTTTACATAAAATAATTTGCCCATAAACCCTGAGTTTTACTGAATAAGATGAATGCATCACTTTATGTTTTAAATTGCATTTTTACTGCTGTAAATAAAAAGACATTTCTTAAAATTCAAGTTGGAAAACAGCTTTTCCCAAATACCAAAATAATGGGACCTGTATTTAATTACTTTTACCGGAATAAAGAATTTAAGCAAGTATTCAAGGTTTTTATCCTTTCTATTTCTCTCTTCTTGCCTGATTTCCCTTACTCAGCCCACCCTCTTCATCACACACAAGCTACAAAATGATTTTACATGAAATGTTCAACTAATAGCAGTCTATTGGTGAAATCATCTATATCATTTCCACAATTTTAAACTACTCTTTACCAAATCATCTTCTAATTCTCATCATTGGAGTTCTTAAATCTTAGAAAACATTACCAATATTAAGTGCCTAAAGACCATTTAAACTTTCTTTAACACTGAAGCAGTTGTGTATGTTTGAATGGATAAAATAAAAATACTCAAGGAAAAAGCTCTGAGTGCCCAGAAGGAAGAACTATACTAGTTGCTAGTCTGCTTTGTATTAGGAGCCACGCTATATTTTTCCAGCATTAATAATCAGGATAATTAAATTAAAATGTGGCCACTTTGTTAAACTTAGGAAACTACAGTTCTGAATTTTTGGTTAAAGGTTTTGGTTGCTATAAAAATGTTATTTTGAATATATTTAAATTGTAAGAATAAAAGAATTTTTTCATTTAATTGGAATGATTTTCCACAAATAGGGTAGGTTTCCACAAACAGGGCAATTGTAAATTTAAAGCATTAGCATTTATTAGTGAAAATGCATATATTCCTGTTCCAAGAAACATGTGAATGAAGTTGAAATAAATGCTTTAAAGTTTACTACGTCAATAAATATAATAAGTGCTTTAAAGTTTACAATATTGCCAAGGGTTTCACAAACCTCCTCTTGTATTCATCACTTAAGTCACATAAAATGATTACAACTAAAAAAATTACACTTTACCACTGTAAACATTTAATTTAGACCTATCCCATCCTCTAGGTGGCATATAGTTATGAGCATTATAACCTACAACTCGATAGTCCAAGATATGTCATTCAAATATTGGTATACCTTCTCTCCCCAAGGGTTATATTTGGTGTTTTGCAGACCCTTGATAATGACAAAGACATTAAAGTTAGGCAGATCTTGAGCTCCAGCTCACCAAGAGTTCTTAACCAAAATACCTGCCATAATTTACGGCAGATTAATTATTTACATTCTGATAGATAATTCTGAGACTATTTTAACGTTACATGTACACATGCTTATATCCTTACAAAAGAAAAGAGACATTTCTGACATTGTTTAGAATATGGCATATAATTATGTGAACATATATTGTCTTGAATTCATCATTTACACAATTACAGGCAATAACTGATCAAAGTCAGCATTGATCCTTGCTTTCCCTTTTGTTCAATCTGGGCGTATCCTTTCTAATACCTATTCACTATTGTAAGACATATTACACATTGTGAGCACTCCACTATTGTCCAAAGGATAAAAATGTTTAGGGGAAAAATTAAATGATCTTTTGATTCATCTCATAATTTACCTATTATCTGGCTACCTGATATGACCAAAGTGACTATTTGCAGTAATTGTAGGGCTAACTACTTGGCCTTGAATATTCTTTTTAGTTAAGCATGAAATCTTACCAGTTAAAATTTCTGAATGTAGAAAACCAACAATAAAGTCATAACTCACAGCCCCTCCTGACTTCAGATGCAGTTCTTCACATTTCCAAAGCCACCCTTGTCAGTGATTTGCCCACTGCCTTTCTGCCTATGTCTACACATGCAGAGAGAGAGAAAGGCTTGAATACATTTAGGGTTTAAACAAAATTTTTAAAACATCTTGACATTGGAGAAGGCAAGATCTGAAGGCAATCCTTACTAGACAAATTCTCCAGGTAACTGCTCACCTTCCCCTCTCTGTTTCTTACATAGGCACAGACTTGCTCACTTAAGGTGAGGAACCATACATATCTCTTTATCATCTGGGAGAGCAAAAATGACTGTTTAATCTCCATTTCCTTAAAAAATTTAAAATAAGAATACTACTATTACCAGGAAAGTTATATTCACACACTACATACTCTAATGGGGCACCTTTTAAAGTTTCTGACATATGCTTCTGAAACAATTATATGTATTGCTTAGAAAGCCTTATGACCAAGGGTTCTACAGAGTAAAATATGCTGAAATTTAATACAATTTTACCACATCTTTAACAAACTAAATCATAAATTGCATGAAGATATTTTCATTTTTAAGATTTCCATACATGGGGAAACAGGAGTACAAATTTTAGTATTTAAATTCTCTCTCCCTGTGCTCACTCCTTCCTTCATCTCCCTGGCTCATATTCATTCACAGAACACAACTCCCTTTTTTCTCTCAAGCCAATTAGAAATACTAAAACGTTAAACATGATTTCAAAAGAAAGGGCTACTGCAGGAAGAAAACTTCTACAGAAAGACAGGATGCTAAGATACTACACAACCAAGCACCAAGATAGTGCAGGAGTTTTTTAGATCGTTTTCCGATCCTAATGTGTGCTTCTGTTAGCCACTAAACCTCAAGGAAAATAAGGGCTTTGGCTTATTGCAAATCAAAGATTTCAAAGGGTCAGATTGTTGCTACTCTATTTTCAAGAAAAAGCTTCTTAAGAGTTGCTGAGCTTTTGGTAGTGTTGTTGCTAAAGGAGATTCATCATCCAGTCAGATACATGGTTCTCAATCTGGAAAGAAGACCGATTCCGGAAAAACAGGTAAATTGGGGAGGTCCTTGTTACTAGCTAAGAAACCTCCAAATGAACACAACGAATCTAACTGATGTCAACGGCTGTACTCTTTAAAGCAACCAAAAGTTTAGTTGCAAAAGGTTTATTTTTGTCTTTGCTCGTGTTCTATTATACCCTAAACAACCCAGGTGCTGAGAAGCACACAAAGTAACTGTACACAAGCCAAGATCACCGCGTGTCTGTCAATTTCCTGAGGTCACTTGTCAGAAAAGCTGGAGAGGCACCCGGTGTCCAGGGACTGAGGTCAGAATTCACTGGGAGGACCATTTGCTGTGCGAAGGAATACCGCGGGACAGCAGCGGCAGAAGAGCCAGGCTTTGGAAAAGGAGGGAAGGTGGGTCAGGGGAGGACTTCGTGGAGAAGGCTTTGTCAGTGCGAGACCCGGTAAAGAGTAGCTGATGCGGGCGTTTGCGGACTGGCAGAAGCGGGAAATCAGAAGGGGGAAATGCGGGGTCGGTGAGGAGAGTGAGGACCCTGTTAGGGGTAATGGGAGGAAGGGTCGGGACGGTACAACCCTGCTGCTAGTTTGGGAGATGGAAGTGAGGCGAGACCCCGAGCTGCTCCAGAGGGAGAGGGGTTCAGGTGGCCAGCAGGTGGAGTCGAAATCAAACAGCCCTTCGGGGACTATGGAGCTGCGCCTTCCTGAGACCCCCAGCCTAAATGTTGAGGAATCAGCATTTGTGTGTGGTGCCTCCTAAAGCAAAGATGTTGTCTCCGATCTTAGCCTTGGCGCCCGCCCCGCTGCGCCTTCCAGGCTACTCACCGGTCCTGGGAGGAGAGCGCCAACCAGGCGCGCGCGAAGGCTGCGCGGCGCAGGCGGCGGGCAGGGCCGGTCGGCGCGCGGCTCTCCTAGGCGCGGGACCGGAGCCGGGGGACACGGAGATGGCGAGCGCGGTGGCGGGGGCGCAGGGAGCTGCGGGCTTGGAGAGCCGCGGATCCCGAGCTGCTGCGCCGCGCGCGCTCTCTGCCCATCTCCGGCTCCGCTAAAGCGGCTGCCGCCGCGGGAGGGGGAGGGAGGCGAGGGGGAGGGGAGGAGGCACGCGGCCGGGAGGGACAGTGGAAAGAAGGGGAGATGATCACTCAGGGTGAAGGGGAGGGAAGGAGGGAGGGAGGGAAGGAGTGAGGCGCGCGGGGAGGCGCGCAAGATCCCATCAAAGGTACCCACCAGAAGAGCTCTGGAAGGAGAAATCCAAGAGGAGATAGGTGTCTTCCCCTCCCCCACCTCCCCTCCCTTTCTCCCACTTCTTCCCCCTTCGCGCCCTTTCCAGGGGCTCTTCCTTTCCGGGCTCAAGTTTCGGGGTTACCCAGGCTCGGTAGCTGTGGGGGCTTTTGCGAGCTGGTACGGTGGTTGAACTCAGGAGGTGGTGATCCCAGGAGGTGGCCGCGACAGCTCTTGGCGCCGAGGGCCTGAGGCACCTGTACGCGGTCACACCGCCAACCGCTCCATTGCGGCGGCTCCCAGGCAGGGATCTGCGGGCCCTGGCTCTCCTCTCCCCTTTCTGGTCAGATTATGATCATGACTGTGTATCAGTGACATCTGTGTCGTCCCCCTATTGTCTGCTTCCCTGGACGCTCTTCAAAAGACACCGGCAGGGAGCTCAATGTAGGCCACCATCGCCAGCCCACTGGAGCTGTTGCCTAGGCAGAGGTGACAGTGTTTGTCGCCCGGTTGACCATCTAACGAGGTAAAAACAAACAGAGAGAGAGACAGAGACAGAGACAGAGAGAAAGAGAGAGACGGAGAGAGACGGGGGGGGGCCGGGGGGGGCGCAGGGAGAGAGAATATGAATGAGAGAATGAAAGAATGTTCTATGACCTGATTGCCTAGGACCATGGCTCAGGGGTAGTCTATTACCGTCTCTCTTGGTTCTTCTCTTCCTTTTTCCCAACATCCTAGAAAACCAGGACAGGATTTAACGCGTTTAATCAAATATTCCTCAATCCTATAATTGCAGAGCTTTTCATTTTCACGCCAGTTCTTCTAGGGTTGTCCTGGCGTTCCTATCGTGGATTTTTTTTTTTTTTTGCTTTATTAGACTATGAATCAATCCTGTTTACTGGCAAACTACAGAGACTCCCATAAAAATAGATACTGTATTTAGCGCCTATACACTTACAAGATAGAGTAGGGATGAATCCACACTTTCAGTAAATGTGAGAACAATCGCTGCATTATTGACTGATTTTCCTGAAACATTTTTGTTTAGAAATGTTCACTTGGTAGTTGAGGTAGGCAGAGAGTAAAAAGGTTATGCGTGGAAAAGATATGACTCTCTCTCTGGGGCGGAGAGTAGTAAACTCGCCTCAAATAACATAATGTGAAGTGATTAAATTACTCCCTGTGAGCACCCTAGAGGGAAAGTTTCTGATTTTTTTGTGTTTTTATTTTAGCAGTCTTTCTGTTACTTAAGAGTCATTTTTAAAAGTGAAAAGGATCCCAACCTTTAGAATAAATAAATTAGGCATTTTATTTCAATTAAGTATGCCTTATATAACAAATGTACTTACATTAAAGTGGGTGCACTACTGAGAATACTGCAGTATGGAGAAGCATTTTTAATACAATAAAACATACCCAAATGTTGATAAAACACCACTAGCTCTTCCCATGTACATTCACATGAGAAAAATGTTAATAATAAAGTATTACTCGATGGTCTATGTATTTCCAACTTGCTAGAATCTTTCCTGGTGGAAATATTTGTTTTCACATCTACCTGATAACCTGAATGAGAGGAGCACCTCCTCATTAAGGGAACAGATATCAAATTCTTCTAATACACATCAACTTTAAATGGTACATGTTACTCTCTCCAGATGTTCAACAGTGCACCATGCAAATTCACCACATGCTATTCTTTCTCAGAAGATCATAGAGAGAAAATGGTTGGTGAAGACCTACAGTTCATTTGACCCTAAGTCTTCTCAGCTGTGACTATATTATAGACAGGAGCAGTGACTTTCTTTTTCTAATACTGGTGGCTTCTTGTGCAAGGAGTGGTTACCAAGAATTAATTCTTCATTTTCTCATCCTTGTTTAGGAAATTCCTCATTTCTCCTTTGCTAATGTGATTTGCCTTTGAGAATTTGTGCTGTTTTCCTCCTATGTTTGATTTTGAAACTGTATTAGCAATATTTGTATAGTCTCATTTTATGATTGTAAAAAGGTGGAGAAACAACACTAACTAAAATGCCTTAAGGCCAAGAGAAAGGATGACATTTAAAGTACATAAAGACAAGTTCTAACTCCTACTCCCTAGCCACATGGCCTACCAGAGACAAAAGTCAGCGGGGTGATAAAGATGGAAGGACATTCTAGTTCCCTTGCTGGAGGAATTGGATTTCAATTTAGAGTCTCGGACTGGTTGAGAACTTTTATGTCACCTGTACCACAGCATTTTCTCCCTTTCATATTCTTTCTCCTACATCTTTATTGTTGTCATACTGTGTTAAGCATGACAACATGGGAAGCCAAATAAATAAAATAAACATCTTCATTACACTGACCCTTTGAAGTAGTTGAAATCAAGTTCTCACATTGAAATTTTCTGAAATCAGAAAGTTTGAAGCTATTCTTAAACAAATATTGCACAAGTGCCAGAAAATGGTTAGCAAAAGAAATATCATTCCTCTATTTATTGAACACATTTAATAATCACCCTTTGGGGCCAGGTACTATGTTAGGTTCAGGAGATACCACAGTGAAAATTGGTAAATGTGCCCTTGTGAAGCTTAGAGTCTAATGAGCCAGCAAGTGCTTTATCACTCGGAAAGATGTTATGATGATGGTGGTGATACATTTGAAGCCCAAAGAAGAAATATTTATTAATTAAGGACGTTAACAAGGTTATGAGAAAAATAATACAGATTATTAGCCTATGCTTGTAGCCAGTTCTTATATGACTTCTTAAAAGAGAAAGAGAGTTTAGGGAAAAGAGTAACATTTTTTGTAAAAGTAAACAATGGAAATTTTTTAGGCCAGTGAAAATTTTGATGAGATTCCACTTTTAAAAATTAACATCTGCTTGTATCAATGGGAAAAATAGAAAGTAATAAGTGTCTTTGAGGTTGTAAAGACTTCTAAAAATTTATGTATGGACTATGTAATATGTATAATTAGTACTGCTGAATATATGAACAGAGTCTGGAATGAAGGTGATGACAAAAATTAGCAACTTTCCCTTTCTCCTTCTGAAGCATATACCAACCAACAAGGAGAATAAAAATAAATAAATGAATAAAATAACACTGCAAATTCTCTTTTTAATAAAATCAGGAGATAGATAACCTTCAGTTTTCAAAATGTGTGTACGAGATGCCCAAACTGCTGAGATCACCAGAAGTCACATAAGAAAAAGTAAGAAGAGCAGAGAGTGGGCCCAATGGTATATAATCTTAGAAAGCTTTAAGATAAATATAATTCTTGAAAGTGAGAGTTTCACTGTGAAATGTAAAAGCTTTTTCCTTTGGTTATAGCAGGAACTCAATCTGGTCTATAGCAGCATAGGAGGAAAGGACGAAGCCTGGTAAGTGTAGAGGACTCAGTTGTGGCTAATCTCACAACCAACTCCGCGCACACACACACACACACACACACACACACACACACACACACGCTGTGCTTCCTGCAGCTGAATTGCATTGCTTTTCTTGATTTGTGAATCATCTACATCTTATTTTCAGCAATTAGTGTGGGAACTGCAGTGAGTAGCACTGTTGACAAAAGCCCTCTTGGATTTGTCCCGTTGGAAGCAATGGTGGGCTCCACAAAGATTAAACAGAGGAGTGATGATTACCAAACGCAGCCTACCTCTGTAATAGCAGAGAGAACCAAAACTTTGTAAATCCCAGATATCTATTTTCCCTTCTCCTTTTCCCAGGAACCTAGATGAGAAAAATGTAACTTGGTTAATTATGAGTAATAAAAGAACAGCCATATTATTAATACAAAGATAATACACGGAAAGACAGAAGAGCAGCAAAATGTACCAATTGTTCAAGAACACATGCCATAACATGTTGCCAAGGAGAGACTGAAAAATTCATCCTAACATTCTGCCATGAATTTTCATAAGGACACAATGAAGTAATTGCTTTTATGAATGATAACTGCAAGGCACAAATGCAAGAACTTGGGAGTGATTGATAAAACGGTAGGAGCTGATGACCCAAAGCTGGCAAAATTTGGGAGAAAAGTGGAAAAAAAAAGAAAATCCATTCTAAATTAAGAAATAGATATGGATAAGTTACAAGGTAAAATATACAGTGAGGTAGACATGATAAGGGAAAGAGAGCAGAAATGAGTAAAGCTAGCAAAATGAAATGGAAATAAAGAGATAAACAGGATTAGAGAGAACATAAAAGGTAGAGAAGAAAGGCAAAGTTAATCTAACATACATAGAGAACCTAAAGAAGAAAAATAACAAAAAAGAATTGGTATTTAAACATAATATTTAATATTAAAAAGGAAACATTCTTGGAGTGAAAGAAGATTTCAAATTTAATTTTTAAAGGACACAATTTCTAGGGAAAATTACCACAGAATCATCAATATCTAGAAAGCTTCTATTAATCATCAGCACCAAGATGTATCCTAATATAGTAAGTAGAATTTAAATATAATAAAGAAATTTGCAGGTCTTCAGGCAAGAATAATCAGTACATTAAAAAGGAAAATACTGAGATTTGCCTCAGAATTCTTTAATACGCAATTCATTGCAGAATAATCATTTAATATCATTGAGGAAAGCCCAAATGATACCAAAGAGAGAGCTATATGTTATTTTTGTTTTTGTTGTTGCCTTTCTTTTATTCTATGTCTTCACATAGTTGGGTTTTTTAGTATATTTTATTGATTATGTTACTACAGTTATCTCATTTTTCTCCCTTTTATCCTCCTTTGCCCTGTATCCCTCTTCCATCCATCATTTCCCCCCGCTTAGTTCATCTCCATGGGTCATATAA